ATACAACTCTGGAATTGAAAATAAATAAAAAGAATATAACTAACATGGCATACTACAAAGGTCAATTTAAAAACAAAAACATAACAAGAATTCCAGCAGTAAGCATAAAAAAATTCAAATTATGTTTTAAAAGATAAAGAAAAATATTCCAATGAATGTAAATATGACATACATATGGTAAGACTATTTTCATAAACCTTAATTGTACTTTCATTAGCTGTTACCTCCTAAACATTAGTTATCCACAGTGCTAGGTCCTGGAAATCAGAGAAACAGAAGATATAATCCTGTCATTAATAAGTTTACAGTCCACCATAATTCTGTATGTCTCAGAAAAAAAGAAAATTCTGCTGTGGAAAAAAAAATCCCCAAACTGGCATCTAAAAGATCTCTCATTCTACCCACTGCTTGTCCTTTCCTATGCTGAGTGTCCTGGAGCAAGTCAGGTCACTTTTCGGCCTCACTGTCATCTGTAAAATGAAGGGGCCAAACTAAATTTTAAGGTCCTTTCTGGCAAAAACATCCTATTATTTTAATCTGATACATAATTTACAATATGTATAATAACTATTCTATAAGTGGTAATTAGAAGTCAATGATAAACAGTCAACATATATAGCCATAACCACAATTTAGTAGTTTATAAAGCAATATTTAAATTTTTTTCAGTTATTTTTATCAAGTATCTCTAAACAGCTTCAGAGCCTACTGTTTTTTCAATACTAGTGTGAACACGCTTTAAAAAGACAAAGGTTCTGCATCTTCCATCCCAATGGCAGAGTATCACTTACACCACCTCCATAAACTTCAGGAAAAAAGATTCTACCAGACTTCTACAACTGCTTCTCAAAACTGCAGTCTGAACATATTCAAAAGTCTATAAAATTCTCTGTGAAAATTTTTTAATTTTATGTTTTCATTTCAGTGATACCCTCAAAATATTAGTAAAGCCATCTTAAAATTGAAAACCTCTGAAATATATTAATGTATCTGTTTTCAATCAAGTGATACCAATTAATTCCTCTTTAATTCTCAGGGACTAATGTAGAAAAGAGCAATAGCATACTTAAAACTTAAATGCATTCATGCCCACATGAGGGCCAAACAATGTCACCCTTCCCAAACAGATGAAGGTTTTTTAGTACTAGTTCAAACAGAGAAAGAGGGGGAAAAGCTGAATCATCACTATATATATATATTTAAAGCAGTCTGTGAGATAAGCTTATATATATAGCAAGCAATAATTTAATTTAGCAAATTATCAAAAATAACATATTAAATTGACATAATTAATTTAAACAGTACTATGGTGCCTATAGACGCAATCCATCTTTATGGTTTTAGAAGCATGACTTAATGTTAAGAATTATTAGCTAGTCTTATAATTCTGTACATTTCTGTGATACTGCAATAAAAATGAAGTCAGCAGTGGGGTTTTGTGAGAATATTATTTGCATTTAAAAGGGGTCAGTGCCTGAACCTAGTTTGAGAAAACACTGCTCTTATAAGCAGACTGCCCTCTTACCCTTCTTCCTAATTCCTTAAGTTACTGGGTTTGTGGTGGTACCAGCCCTGGGTCCTGAGCCTACAGAGAAGAGGGAATGGCTCAGATCAGGGTTTTTTGAGCCATTCTAATAGATGTGTAGTGGTACGGCATTGGGATTTTAATTTGCATGTCCCTAATGACAGGATTTTGACTATCTTTTCATGTGTTTATCAGCAGATAACTGCCATCTATATATCTAGAATGCATGGCTTACCACCCAGTGCTCAGAGGCCATCAGACATTCACCTGTCATAGTTCTACTAGACTGAGATAAAAATCTTTTCTCCTACTGCCTGGCTCTCTGATACTATCTAAAGCTCTAAAGCCTTTTCCAAATTTAAGAATCTGAAGAATTATTTTTCTTCCTATAAGATGCCAATGTAATTTGAGTACAGCTCCAATATAAGACATTCTGCCACTGAAAATTATATTTTATTACTGTTAAAATAAAAGATAATATAACAATAGGGTTAAAAGCAAATATTAAAATTTAAGTTCAGTACCAATAGAAACAAGATTAAGTAAAGACCAAGATGAGAAGCAATATCTACAATTCATACATTCAAAAATATTTGTTGAGTGTCTACTATATGTTAGGCACTATTGCTGGTACTGAGAATAAGGCAGGCCAGGTGCAGTGGCTCATGCCTGTAATCCCAGAACTTTGGGAGGCCAAGATGGGAGAATTGCTTGAGCACAGGAGTTTGAGACCAGACTGGGCAACATAGTGAGATCGTGTCTCTACAAAACATAAAAAATTAGCCAGGTGTGGTGGTGCTGCATGCCTGTAGTCCCAGCTACTTGGGAGAATGAGGTGGGAGGATCACTTGGGCCTGGGAGATTGAGGCTACAGTGGGCCATGATTGTGCCTGCACTCCAGCCTGGGTGACAGAGTGAGACCCTGTCAAAACATAAATAAATAGAGAGAGAGAATAAGGCAGTAGAAGGAACACACAAATATTAGATACATAACATGCTAAGGGGTGAAAACTGTGATGGAGAAGAAACAAAGCATAGTAAGAGGACAGCAGGGGTATGGTTAATACTTATATGGTTTGGGAGGTCCTCACTGATAAGATGACAGGATAGAATAAGCCATGTGGATATTTAGAGGAGGAAGGTTCCAGGCTGAGGAACAGTAAATACTCCTCGAACAGGAGTATCTGTTGGCATGTAAAAGGAACTACAAAAAGGCTCGGGTTTACTAATTTGTAAAGCAAATGAACCAGACAATAATATATTGCAATATATATTATAATATATTGCAACTACTTTTGCATCAACCTAATTAAACCACCTATTCTAGTATAAATGTGTAAAAGTTCATGATTTCCTTCTATTTTTTTTTAATTAAATCTTGGACCTGTGTGAGAGATTTTCCATTTAAATGCATCAATTTAGCTAGGAAAATTCCAACATTTTCTAAAGGAAATATTTTTCAAAATCCTTTTAAAACCAATCTTACAATCTTACTTGTCACAAAAAACAGATATCACACTTATATAAGTACATAGTATAAACTGCATTTATCTCTAAATAGATAAAGCCAGAAGCAGAGAAATGAGATATTTAGTACCTATTTTTTCAGAGGGTTCTATTAAAAACAAAGAAAAGCAGTGCCCCTTTCTCACTTGGGAAAATAAATCACCTTAGGAAAAACTGAAAAGCATTAGCCTACAATTGCTACTTAAAATCAAACAAACACAACTTTTAAAAAGTGAATTTTATTTTGCATGGGATTAAGTCAAGCAACAGTATGAATTCACAATAAAATAAGAATATATAGTCATCCTCCTGTATCCATGGGGGATTGGTTCCAGGACTACTCTGCAGATACCATAATTCATGGATGCTCAAGTCCCTCAGATAAAATGGTGCGGTGTTTGCATATAACCTATGTACATTCTCCTATATACTTTAAATCAACTTTACATTACTTATAATACCCAATACAACGTACATGCTATGTAGATCCCTGCTAAACTGTAGGGAATCATGACAAGAAAAAAGTCTGTACATGTTCAGTACAAAGATAATAATCCTTTTCTTTTTTTTCAAATATATATATATATTTTTAGAGAGAGCGTCTCACTCTGTTTCCCAGGCTGGAGTGCAGTGGCATGAACATGGCTCAATGCAACCTCAACCTCCTGGGCCCAAGTGATCCTCCCACGTCAGCCTCTTGAGTAGCTAAGACTGCAGGGACACAATACCACATCCATTGTTTTTTCAAATATCTTCTATCCTTAGTTGGTTGAATCCATGGATGCAGAACCCACAGATACAGAGGGCCAACTATATAGGACATAAATTTCTATTCAATCAAGTATCTTTATACAAGATTTCAAAGTTCCCTTATTCTCCTTGACCAGGAAAAATATAAATTTGAATTTATCATTTTAACCAACTACACAATAAGATGTAAAAGATGAACATCACCCAAGATAAACTTAACAGCACTTGACTTTAATTCAAAATACAAACTAAAAAGCCATTAAAGTATGTAGAACTTTTTGAATGCCGTATTTTCTCCCTTGACTTCTTCCTTGGTTTTATAAATCTCAAAGGCTGTGTGGTAGTTTATATTACTTACACAAATTCTTTATGTTGCAAAGATCCAAGATTTTAATTTTCCAAAAACAAATCTAAAAATTATAAAATCATAACCAAATTTTATATCAGTTTAAGGAACTATCTTTTCTTGAGATGAAGCATGACTAAAATTGAGGAGCCTGAATGTTGATGAGGCTGTGGAACAACTGAAACTCTCTGACACACTGCAGATGGGAGTGTAACTTAGTACACACTTATGTCTTGCAAGTTACACATCACAAGCCCTTGCAATATCCTGTCATCTTCAGATTCCTGATCACAGTGCTCACTACAAAAAGCCATGCCACAAGTAATCTTTCAAGGTTTTCTTACTGACACTTTTCACTACTATCATTCCAACATCCCTTAATGGTTGACCTCTGACCATTTGAGGCAAACCAAATCCAATTGTACACAAAACAGCACTGAACACAATAACACAGTATCTAAACCTAAAATACTTACAACAAAACTAAGAACGACTGCAGGATTTTTTTTAATTACATAGAAATGGACCTAGGCAATTTCATAAAGTTTTACTATAATATGAGAAATGTGATATAAAGCATATACAAAGAGTAAACAATGAGAAGGAAGAAAAGAAAGGACTACAGGAACTTTTAAAAACATCATTTAAATCTACTCCAGGCTCAAATTATTAAAGGATAAAATAATCTCAGCAGATGAGCTAATTTAAGATGATGGTAATGTTTGCTATAGCAATTAGACTGTACTACCTTTAAAAAGTCATCTGTTTTACATTTTCCTCTAATTTTATTATTTGATACTATAAGTCGGTGAATGTAATATAAAAGAAAGAAAAGAAAGGAAAAGATATAAGAGAAAAAAAAGAAAAACTTACTGGGATTGAAAACTCCTCAGCCAAATACTTCAAGGAGGATGCCTCTCTTGCCAAGAACTTGTTTCTTTCTTTGAGATTGCCTTGAAGTTGTGTATCAAACTCCTTTCTGACCACAGAAGCAACAGAGTCAATAATCACAAGTTTAATTCCTTTTGAGATAATTTCTTCTTCCAAAGATTCAATCCTATAAAAGAAGAATTTATAAAATAGTCAATAAATTTAAGATAAAGTAAATAAATAAGGGTATTGCAAAGGCTAAGCAAATTAAAAACAATAACAAACTATTCTTTCCTAAGTTACAGTAATGATTTGCAAGAATTCAGTAAACCTAACTTATTTTCAGCTCTTCTAGACATATAACACTTTTCTGGAAACAGAGCAAACTGTTTCTGTGTAGTTTCAGAATTCCTTGATTCTCTTAAGATAATGCTAATGCTCCAATTTTGGGGTAAAACTACTTGTGGTAGCCAGTCTGTAAAATGGCCCGCACTTACTCTCTCCTCTTGGTATTTCACATCCTTGTATAGGTCCCTCCCACAGTGTGCCAGACTTGATCTGTGTGACCACAAGCACATGACAAAATCATGGTACCTTATTTCTGAGTGTAGGTCATAAAAGACTACAGCTTTCATCTTGGGTACTCTTTCACTTGCCCAGTCTCTCAGGTCACTTACTCTGAGGGAAGCAAGTTGCTATGTTGTGATTTACGGAGAGGCCCAGATAGTAAGGAACAAAGGCCTCTTGCCCACTGCCAGCAAGAAACAGAGGCCTTCCAACAACTACATTAGGGAGCTTGGAAGCAGATACTCCAGCTCCAGTCAAGCCTTGAGACAACTGCAGCCCTGGCCACCGGCTTGACTACAACCTCTTGAGTGCCACTGAGCCAGAAACACCCAGGTAAGCTACTCCCAGACACTTAACCCTCAGAAACTATGTGAAATAATATGTATTTGCTATTTTAAGCTACTAAACTGTGAGACAATTTGTTAATGGAACAATAGATAAGTAATACACCACTTAATTAAATCTAAAACATTTTATTCGTTTAATTTTTTTCATTTTTAAAGAAAGACTTCAACCAAAAGGCTATAACAAAGAAGAACACTGAAAAAGTTATTCCACATAATTCTAACCTGTAAAGACTTTTTCACTCAGAAGATGAAACATAAAAGATAAAACATAAACTTTCAACGCATTACTAAAAAATCAAAATCTAAAGCAGCATACCTTTGTAGAACTTCATCACAGGTGAGTTCCCGATAAAGATGAACTTTACTACTTGTCAAAAGTAATTTTTCTTCAGTGTTAAAATATCTGGGAAAACGGGATTCTGCTATCTCAACCAGTCTGTGGGTAAAAAAAAACCAGCACAAACAAAAATAGTTAATTCTATTAAAGTCACATTGCTGAATCTCTAAATAATTTTACTTGAGAAACTTCTAAGTATTATCAATAGAGCAAGTATAAGCAAAATGGCTTAATATACAGGTTTAAAATGTAAGCTCTCCTTTGTAAGCACTAACAGAGGTTAGCAGTCATAGCATGAAACCAGCAAGGGCTGTTGGATCTCATCTAATCTTGAGCAAACAACAATGTCTCTGAGATTTATCTTTCTGGGATCAAATATGTTTTTTGTAAATGATATTTAGAGTAGCAGCTATAAGGTATGTTTACAAAATAAGAATGCTTTCATTTTCTTGAATATATTTGAACAAATATGGTATATTATATTATAATAGATATCAGTAAGTCTTCATGTCTCATTCCAGAAAAATACGCTTTCTCAATTGAAACAATTCAGGCAAATTAATGTTATGCAATAATTCCTTGGTAAACAGAAAATTATGGCCCAAACAAATTAATGTTCCAATATTTTCTTAGTAAACAAAAAGTGATTTTCTAAACACTGATTTCTGGCCTCAAAGGCAGTTTAATATATGCAGTAGGCCAAACACAAGAGAGTGACAAGTTAAAATGCCATCATTCATATTATAAGATATGGAAAGCATTACTAGAAATTTCTCATATTTATGGCTTAAAATGTTAAAAATATAAGTCTTTGAGTTTAACCATCTCATTTCATTTTAAATGTTTTGAGTTTAACCGTCACATTTCATTTTAAATGAAATGACATTTTATCAGCCCTAGTACTTAGCCATCCCAGGGGAACTGGGAGGAGAGGCTGTAAACTTGAAAACCATCCTATATTTTATGTTCCATTTAGAGACTCAAAAGTACAAAAGAACAGTGTTTTCATTTCGAAATAGTTAGAGTTCTGAGAAGAGGCTGGGAACTTTGAAAAGATAAACAAAACAAGTCCTTACATTTGCTCTGATTAGAAATAAAAGAGAAAAACCTAAAACAGGAAAAGAGAAGAGAGAACTTCAACAACTGTTTTTAAGTATATTTTTGAACAATTTGAAAAGAAAAATATACATAGCTAAGTTGAACAGGAAGAGGAAAAAATACTTCATGAGTAAGGAATAGTACCAAAAGAGGTGTGAAGAATGAGAATAAAATGGATCAAATAACCATCCAGGAAAAGAGCTTAAGAGAGGCACAGGGATTGAAATGGAAGAAGGAAATGAGGTAAGTGAGGAAATCAAGAAATGAGATGGCACTGGCATAGGCAGAGCAGCCAAATCCTGAGGGTCTGAGGGGAAAGCATAAATTGTTTGATTAGGGAAACTATTTGCTGAGTTTAGTGCTGGTCAGAGAAGTCAGCTAAAAATCTCTGGCACTTAGAACCTACCAGTTTTTAACAGGATAGGTCTGGCAACATCTTCTAGAAACATGGAAGTTTTTCAAAATTTGAATGCCCAGTTGATTAGGAACCAGATTGAGAGTACCTAGCTCATTAGCAACAAGAACTCAACAGCTGACAATTTTCTGCCCTCTAGCACCAGGCTGGATTTCCACTAGTGGCTTGAGTAGTGAAAGGCTCTGGAACTTATTGCTGCTTTCCCATTGCTGAAGGCCTCGGAAAAGGAATGATAGTCAAAAGATAGACATGAACAACCTTTGTTCACAGTTACCATGCTAAATAACTGTATTCAATGGACCATTTACACACCAATATGCTGTAATTTTCTCTGTTTCTCCAAATGTTTTTTTATTTTATAAAAAAAAATCTAAAAAATATAAATCAAAAACCAAATATAAATGCAGTATTCGATATGCCTCGCATTCATCCCAGTAACTTCTTGTGACAATCTTCATCACAAAGATCTTTTTTGTTTAGGGCAAAAAACAGAAAAGAACCTATCGTTTGCTCCCAGACATTAATTATATAAAGTTTGAAAATAATGCCATCTAGTGGATATCTTTTTATAAAAAGTATTCTTTTCAAAATGAGCACTTAAGATACATTCATTCAACAAATATTTATTGAGGACCTACTATATGCCAGGCACTGTTCTAGGTGCCGAGAATATGGCACTGAACAACAACCACCACCAAAAGAAAAAGAAAAAACCTTCTCTCATGGGGTTTACATTCTACTGAGGAAGACAAATAAATATACATTATATATCAGGTAATAAGGCTCTAGAGGAAAATGAAGCAGGATGAGAGAATAGAATGTGACAGGTGGGGCTAGTGCTATTTTATATTTTATGTAAGGTGAACTGACAAAGCCTCATTAATAAGGTGACATTTGAGCAAAAGCTTAAAAGAGGTAAGAAAATGAACCATGTGGATATCCAGTGAAATAGCACACAAGAATAGGGAATTATAACAAGTGCAAAAGCTTACATGTCGAAAGATGCCTGGTGTGTCTGAGAAACAATAAAGAGACTAAAGTATCTGGAACACAGGGAGTAAGAGGGAGAATAATAGAAAACAAAGAGCTAGCCAAGGCCAAGATCACATAAGACCTTTAGGTCTGTGGTATTTTTTTAGCTTTTATTTAGCAAAATGGGAAGCCTAGAAGCAGGAACAACATGATCTGACTTCTTTTTTTTTAAAGGACTGTTCTAACTGCCAAACGGAGAAGAGGCTTGGGCAAGAGTGAAAGCAAGGAGATCAGCTAGCACAGACAAGAGCTGGTAGTGACCAGTTAAGAGCTGGTAGTGATCTCACCCAGGGAAGTAACAGGTCAAGTGATGAGAAGTAACTAGACTCAAGATATAGTTCAAAAGAGGAGCTAAAAGAATTTCTTGGCCGGGCGTGGTGGCTCACGCCTGTAATCCCAACACTGTGGGAGGCCGAGGCAGGCAGATCACCTGAGGTCAGGAGTTCAAGACCAGCCTGGCCAACATGGCAAAACCTCGTCTCTACTAAAACTACAAAAATTAGCCAGGTGTGGTGGCACACGCCTATAATCCCAGCTACTCAGGAGGCCGAAGCAAGAGAATCACTTGAATCTGGGAGATGGAGGTTGCAGTGAGCCAAGATCATGCCACTGCACTCAGCCTGGCCGACAGAGTGAGGCTCCACCTCAAAAAAAAAAACAAAGAAAGAAAGAATTTCTTGACTAATTGGATGAGTGTCTAGAAGAATGGAATCACAACTTTATTGAAGCAGAAAAGACAAGATTCAGATAAAGGTTTTGGTTATTGGTGCTATTTGCATGTTTTATTTCCTTTATGGGGGAATCAAAAATGCAGTTTTGGACGTATCAGGAAATCCATGTATGTAAACCTATCCAAGTTCCATGTCATTACGCAAACAAATATGAATCTGAAGTTCATGGGAAAGCTCAGAATTCAGATATCAATCCAGGAGTTATAGCCCATAAAAGATTTTAAAGATCATAAGACCAGATGATACTAGGGATTGAGTACAGATATAGAAGAGAAAAGGTCCTAGGACTGAGTTCTGGGATTCCCCAAAGCCTAGAAGTTAAAATGACGAGGAGGATCCAGCAAAAGGGACTGAGAGGAGGAGGTGATCAAGAAGGTAGGTGTAAAAGAAGAGAGAGTGGCTCCAAGAAGCCAAGTGGGCTGGGCATGGTGGCTCACGCCTATAATCCCAACACTTTAGGAGGCCAAGGCAGGAGGATCTCTTGAGCCCAGAAGTTTAAGACCAACCAGGGCAACATACCAAAACCTTATCTGTACTAAAAATTTAAAAATTAGCTCGGCATGGTGGCATGTGCCTGTGGTCCCAGCTACTCAAGAGGATGAGGTGAGAGGATTGCTTGAGCCTGGGGGGTCAAAGTTGCAGTGAGCCATGATAGCACCACTGTACTCCAGCCTGGGTGACAGAGTCAGGTGAGACCCTGTCTAAAAAAATAAAAAGAAGTCAAGGGAAGAAAGCTTTTCAAGAAAAAGAGAGTAATCAACTCTTTCAAATGCTGCTATTGGGTTGGATAAAAATTTTTTAATCAGTTGCATTATAGAGCTGGGAACTAAAACCTGGATAGAGTGAACTCAAGAGAGAATGAAAGAAAGGATTTCCACTTCTGCCCGCAAAGGATTAACTGGTACAACAACTGCACTAAAATAATAAGTAGAAAATCAGACAGAATACATAAAATAACAGCTTTCAGGTACTGAACAATAGAAAGCTTGAGACTGTAATCCTTGAGAGAAAGGAAACAAACACAATGAGCTTACAATCCCCTCAGCTTGCTCCAGAGGCAGTTTCCAGGCTACAAAACAAGAAAGGGAAAGCAAACAGAGCCTGGCAGACAATCTGAGTTGAGGAGATGGGGATCAGAGTTTGGGTAAGCAAAGGTGGCTAGAACTTAGGGGGCAGAATACCAGAGAGGAAGCAGGTGTGCAGAGTGAGCGCTGCAGAGATCTGCAGAAAGGTCCACTTGAGAACTAATCTGCACATGTGTGAAGGGAAACTACCTGAGGCTGAGGAAAGGACCACCAGAAAGTATCAGACTGAACAATTCCTAGTGCCCACACAGGGTGGGAACATTCGGGTTTACACAAGACGAAGAATAAAGAGACCTTATTATACACTGGGCATTGGGCAGAATTTTCAGAAGCATTTTACCTTAGTAGTGGAGCTAAATAAGTTTCAGAATAAAAACCACAGTCACGCGCTGCATAACGACATTTCAGTCAATGATGCATCACTTATACAACAGTGGTCCCATAAGCTTATATAGTATATTTTGACTATACCTTTCCTTTGTTTAGATACACAAATACTTACCATTGTGTTGTAATTGCCTATTCAATACAGTAACATGCTGTACAGGTTTATAGCCTAGAAGCAATAGGCTATACCATATAGTCTAGGTGTGCCATAGGCTATACCATCTAGGTTTATGTAAGTACACTGTATGGTGTTCATACAACAACGAAATTGCCTAACAATGCATTTCTCAGAACATATCCCCATTGTTAAGCAAAGCATGACTGTACCTGGGATTTTTCTACAACAAAATT